AACGCTTGCCACAACAGTGCGGAATGCATGCGTTTCGTATGCGAATCGCGTGGTTTTACTAGGCGCATGCGAGACGCAGGCGAAAAGTATGCGAGAAGCATGCGGCTAACATGCGTGCCGCAGCAATACCTGTTTCGCCCCTAAATATTGTACCCTTGGGCACTCCTGCGCACACTGCGAGGGCTTTGCCCAGCAACGGCGAAGGAAAAGGCGGGAAGCACGCGGTCGTGGCTACAGGAAGGTGAATCCTTGGGTTGAACTTGGATCGTTTGTCACAAACTCCATTACGTTAAGAGACAACCTTCGCCCTTCGCATCCATACGTCTGACCTAGTGCCTAAGCACCCCCGAATGACCGCAGCCTCTATGTAGAACGCCAGACGATCGAAAGCGAGAAGACCGAAGGCCAGAAGAAACGAGAGGGATACTACCACTTCATCTCATAGCAGCCCTGTGATCATGATTCGTAACTATTAAAGCTATCTTTCCTTAACTTCCTCGCACCTCTTACCGCCTTGTTTCTGTCCTTCCCACCTCGGACTGATGGAGTTCGTGGTCCGTGAGGACTAGTGGAGGAAGCGAGACATTGACTGCGGAGAAACCGTTCAAGGATTAAGCTTGCTCTTCTTGCTTGTCTGAGGACTTGATTGTGTCCAATTTTCAGGGACCGAGCGAAACTTGTGTGTTTTTTTCGTGTGTGTGCCGCATCCGACTATATTTCCATCTTTTGAATGCTGACAGCCTCATCGGGGGCGTCGATCACGAGATTTCCCCAAGTATGCACTTACTCCCTCAACATCCAAACACCTCGTCTGAAGGGAGCAGATCGATTTCCATTGTTTCAAGCCTCCTCGTAGAGGTGGTACCGCATCTCGGGTGCCTGCGCAACTGGCAGCTCCTTATTGACGCGAGAAGTCCAATTGTCGTCCGATTGTCGTCCGAATGGTGACATTGTGGAACATATACAAGGCGTACAGGCAGGTGAAGAAGGCAGTGAAGCTGCTGGGAGAAGTGGTGCGGGTTCGAGAGGAGACACTGGCGGAAGATCATCTATCGAGGTAGAAGGGGCTCGGGACACCCGCGTTGGTGTTGATAGGGAGGAAACATGTTCAAATGCGGCCTAGGCGGTAGGCAAGCCATGCCGCGATGTCAGCCCTTGAGGTATGCTTTGCGGACGCAAAGTTTTTGGTCGAGAAACAGCAACAATTCCATTGTCCCAGTAGGGAGCCAATATCTCCTGGAACTGTATACATTAATTTCCTTCCACCTGTGACGGCGCGAGTCGAGGCTGGAGGTGCTCTCTGAAGAGGTAAATGTGACCCGGGGATAATTGAGACTGGCCCAAAACCAGTGCGTGTATTTACCGAAGGTTTCATTCATGACGGTCGCTAAAAATCCAGGTGGAAGTGGAGAGTTCTGAGCCGTGTCCTCTCGCTTCAACATTTCCAGATATTGTCTGCACGCCTCAGTATAAGAATCAATGTTCTCTCCATCCAGTCCGTCCACGGCATATCCACTTTGCCAGAACGGAGGACGTAGTGTTTCTACCGGTGGAAGGGAGATCCACTCTGGGTCAGGATGACAGGTGATACAACGATCTTGATCGACAAATATATTACCAGTCCATGTCAAGGCTGGTCCAGAGAAAAGATAGGTTCCAAGGTTCGTAAGGTTTTTGGGAGCGCCATCTGACCCGTGGCGTCCATCCGGCTACGTACTGCATCAGGCTAGTACCTTAGCTTCATGTCATGGCAGACTAACAAAACTCGGATATACGCGTCGGTCGTGACATATGTCCGGTCTCGAGGGATGCTGCGAGGGATTCGGTCGCTTCCAGACAGCACAAGCGGGACCGTCAACGGACGATCGCTGAGGCTCATTTCGCCCGAGTCGTGGATCGTGAATGAACTGGTATCAGTAATGCCTTACTGGAGATAGGCAGTACTCAGCGATAGATTGATTCCGTAGTAGTAAGTATCTCTTTACGTATAGTAGTGACAAGCCTCGAAGCATCACGTACATGCGCCAGTTGAACGCGCTACACGAATGCGCGTTTACTGATGAATACGCTGCGCCAACACGCCTCTAGATACGCCAAGATGCCACTGAATGCGCCAAGGTACCTTCCAAATACGCCAAGGTATCTCTAAATACGCCAAGGTACCTCTGAATAGCCTCATTCTGCCCCAATGCGGCCATGCTCTTCGCCTGAGTATTTAGTCTTGCTCTCTCCCTCTTCCAGTTCTGTTTCCTTTCCTCTTTTGCTTCTCTCGTACAACAGACCAAAGTCAGTAGCATATATATATATATATATCAAAGTCAGTAGCACACGTCGCATGTTGCTCGCCTGCTAACCGCTTTGCAGATGAACACCGTCGATTCCCTCCCTGGCAGCACCGCCTCAGGTGCAGGTGGCCAACCCCCTCGTCGCCCTGGTGGCGCCCGTGAGTTTCATACTGGTCGCACGCGTCTCGCACTGCTGACCCGCGCGTTTAGCCCCCGCCCCTACTCCAACTAAGGAGTCTCGACGTGCAAGTCGAGAGAAGTTACCCTGCCAACGTTGTTTGCGCTCGCTCCGCGCTGTTCGTGGCTGTACCGCTGGTACAACTGTCGCCTGCGACACGCGTGTCAGTGGAGGCTACACCCGCTGCGGCCGCTGCAGGCGTGGTAGGCGTGCTAGCACAGGCTGTGTCCCTGTAAGTATCGCGTTACTGTACGCGTCCCCGCAAGCTTGTCGCATGCTCATCGCAGCCAGGTCCCCCTGTCCTGCGTCGCTGCCGCCAACCGCCTCCTCGCCCGCAATCAAATGATTGTGGATGGCGAGGCCGACGCGCCGTCGGTGGAGGACATCCGGTCCGAAGCCGCTGTGCTGTCGAGGCGCATGCAGACCGCATCAAAGGCGTCTTCGAGACGCAACCTTGCCGCCTCCCCGACCACCGCCGCCCCCGCCGACAAGACCACTGAAATCCTTGGTGGCATCATGGAGGCCATGCGCTTCATGGTTGGATACTATGCGGAAGTCGTGAGTGTCGCATGCTTCTCTCTTGCGTTCCGCGCTGACTTGTACAGCATGGCTTGAGTCCCCCTGTCTGGTACGATGAGGCAGACAGTGGTCGTGGGTCCGACTTCTCCATGAGTGAAGACGAGGAGTAGAGTGCGAGCTGTGTACGTCTCTCCTGTGTGTCGCGTGTGTGTCGCCTGTGTGGCTGGTGTGGGTTCTTCTGGTGGTGGCATTGCCCTTGAGCAGTGCGTGCTGTGCACGCCTGCGGCTTGTGGCTAAATGATAATCAGGGCGCTGCGGCGTCGCATGCATCTCGCGTGCCTGGCCTCAGGTCAAATACAAATCCCTTTACTCAATTTCCTATTCCTGCTTTCCTCCTATAGTCAGCGATCGCCTCGCGCGCGTGTCTCAGGTCTATCGTAGGTTGCCATGAGTCGTCCGCCTCTCCGAATCCTTTCCAGCGAACGTGGAACTCGATTCGCCCGTATCGGCGGCGTTCTCCTAGTAGTTCTTGCACTTCCTATTCTCCCTCGCCTTCAATGTTGACAGGTTTAGGTATCTTCGCGCCGTGACGAGCGCGATACGCCTGTAACCAGGAGACGTGAAACGTATGGTGAAGTCCTCCGTATTTCTTTAGCAACTTAAGCGTGTACGCGTTTACGCTATATTTATCGATGATTTCAAAGGGTCGTAGGAGCTGGTCAGCGAGCCTTTTACTAGTACGGAGAGTCCTGATGTTCCTAGCAGAAACAAGAACTTGATCGCCGATATTAAAGGATATACTCGTCCTCTTCTAGTCGTAATATTTCCGTATGCGAGCCTCAGCGGCCTCGCGTACTTCTTCCGCCACAGTGAGCGATTTCATGAGGGATGTAGCTCTTTCTTTCGCTGTAACGTTCAACGGTTACTACGTGAGCTCTTCGCGTTCGACATTTATGCGTAACGTAGGCGAGAACGACAGGGTAAGATCGAACGGTGTCCCGTAGAGGCGTTAGGCGCTACGTTGGGATCGTACTTAGCGCTTACGAGTAGCTCAGCCTAATCCAATTACTGGTAGTTAACGTAGCATCGGAGATAGTAATCCAAGGTCTAGTTCGTCCGTTCCGTCTGCCCGTCGGTCTGCGGATGAAACGCAGTTGAGAATAGCCTACGAGTCGCAAGGTAGGAGCATAGGGTACCGCAGTATGAAGACGTGAACTCGTACCTCGATCGCATACAATTGACTTCGGCGCCCCAAACCTTGTAACTACCTTCTCCAGGACTAACTGTCCTAGTCGCGGAGCGTCGATGGTACTAAGACACGGAGTTAAAGAAACCATCTTCGAAAATCGATCGACAATGACTAGTATCGAGTCGCATACGTTTCGCCCGTGCATCGACGGCGGTAGCCCTACGATAAAGTCCATTGCGATATCTTGCCATAGCCCATCTACCCCTGGGAGGGCCTTTTTACTGAGGCCGCGTAGGAGTATGCTTCTCCACTCTGAGTAGCATGCTCCTCTCGTGCGATTGACTTCGGCTCCCTGCGCTGTCTGTGATAACTGGTCTTTGGGAGGGGCTGGCGAGCCAGATCCAGCATGATTCTTGACAAGCTGTGATAGAAAGTCCTTTTTCGTGCCTCCGAGGAGTGCGGCCATACTTGGGATAGTAAACCCCCTTGTTCCGATTCAATGTAGTCCACAAGCAGGTATCCACATTGTAAGTGGGATAGGCCTTGCCGTATACCACAAATATCCATTGTAGCAGTCTTTATAACAGTCTTTGTAACCATCTTTCAGTTTCGAGAAATTATGGTCAGTACCAGGGAAGACACTCGAGAGTAGTAAACTAGAACGCCTAGTTAGCACCTCCTTCGATGTCGGATCGTTGTCTGCTCATCACCTACTCTAGAACCACTTGGAAGACCGAACCCCCAGAGATGAGGAATTGGGACCCGCGGACAATTAGCGGACATCCAGGCAAATGTGGCAGCTTTACACCGGATCTTCTCGTCCAACCCATCAGGACCGCCGACCATATAAGGGAACGGGCAGCTCAACAACAGCCGCTGTGTCCGCCAGTTTGTGACACGAATAGAGATGCCAAGTGTTGAAGCTCCCGTGCAACCATTGTGACCGTGGGGCCACGATACAGCGTTGGCGCCGGCCCAAAGAGAGGTGGCAAGCAACGATGTCGCAAATGTCCGACACATGGTCTTCGAGATCATCGAAGAAGGCCTCTTCCAGAGATTCTCGTTGTAATTGAATGAGCACGTTGTCATCCTCTTTCCAATCTCTTTCCGATCTCTTTCCAATCTCTTTCCAATCTCTTTCCAATCTCTTTCCAATCTCTTTCCAATCTTGTGGTTCCATCTTCGTCCGTGGCGTAGACGAGCTTGTGGTCAACTCTTGAACGACGGCCGGGGATGGGTCGATTTGAGCTCGAGAGCGCAAAAGGCACGGTTTCCCATTTTCGTTGGACGCAGGGTTCGCGATTGTCTCTGTTCCGCATCCCAGACTCATGAGGGTGATCGCCTAGCGACAACCTGTCAATGATGAGGTGAAGATAGCTGTCAGCATTTGACTCACCAGAATTTGGGAAGAGATCAATTACCGAGTCTTGCGGAGTATTCCTGGGCAGAGTCAATCACTTGCAAGTCGCAGTTGAGAGCAATCTCCGAATTACTAAACGATGAGCTCGTTGAGACTTGAAATTTGCATGTGGTAGCGGACATGCAGCGTGTGGAACAAAGTGCGGTCCTGTTGTCAGCGAACAATAACAGGCACAGGAGAGTTGGGGTGCGTTCTGGGAGACTCCTACCTTGTTGATGATGATTGCAGAGCGAACCGGAATCGCACTTTGGCTAAGGCGAAAAACATTCGACTTATCCAGCTACTGCAGGAGAAAAGCGCGGACTTCAAGATTCCAGATACGCTGGGCCGAATTCCACAAGTCGAAGAGAATGTGCTGGTGCCGGTTTGTGGCATCTTAATCGTGGTCAAGGCATATCAGGAAGAATGAAAGCAAGAGGAGAAGATTAAAAGAAAACGACTGTGGCGGCATCAACGACATCTTCTCCAGAGTCAGATGGTAGTATGTTCATTGCAGTGTACATTACAGCACTCGTGGCAGTGTTTTCAACATGGCAATTGAGTGACCCGTTCTGCCTCATCAGGCTACCAGATGGCTACTAGGCGTCCAAGGTATCGGCGGAACTCCAGCCTCAAAGGGCCCCAAAGACAAATGGTCGTCACAACATTTGCATGCGTACACCGACAGCCCGTCAATGAACGGTCTCAACATGACAAGCTCGAGAGGCCTCAAGGCGTGGTCAGGTGTGAGGCTTTCTTGCTGGACACACTGAGGATTCTGTGTCGTTACATTGAATCGTTTGACGCAGTCATGAGTGCATCCGTAGGCAACTTAGCCCAGAAATGCCCAGACCCCGAGAAGCAGCAAGAATAATCGCAAAAGGAGCTCGGGGTAGGGGCTTTCCGGGCGTTAGGAGCACCAGGGATGGGCCTATGGGGTCACATTTGAGCCGCTTCTGACACACTCGTAGCTTTGCTCCCGCGACTCAAGCATTACCTCAGGGCCGCCAAGCCGTGCTCGGGAGTCCTGTGCGTCGCTGATGTTTTTTCAAGTAGTACATCGGGCGGCGATTGTACTGCGAAAACATCTCGCTATGGCGATAGATGGGTTTGCACATGCATGACAGCGGCCATCTCGTCGATCTTGATTCAAGCGGCACGCGAGACGCTCCTCCTCATTTGCAACGAGATCTGCTCTCCTTTACGCTAATCAGGCAAGTTAGCAAGCTTGTCAATGCTTTGGCAGTACCACGAAGCAGGAAGAGCGGAGGAGACGCATCTTTGTGAGCGGCACCGAGGCCAGTGTCGAAAGGTGATGTCGCCACGTTCCAAGAGTTGGACGGTGATTTGGACAGGTGGATATCTGCGGCAACAGCCTCATTCCGCCCCGACAGCACCTGTAGTCGTTCAGACATGGGCTGTCGCCAAAGCACAGGAGTCTTTGGGACGGCAGCGTGGTATTGTAGGACATGGTGTCAAGGTCTTTGATCCCAAAGTCTTTAGTTTGTTATTGTTACATTAACAGGACCCGCACTTGTATGATGGTGTAGGTATCGGTCTCGCTGAAAAACTTGGTATATTGTAACAACCGTGCAAAAACCATGCAACAACCAAAACTTACCCATGTGAAGCGGCCACGCTCATCCAGCCAATCCTCGGTCTCAAAGAAAGCCAGTAACATCGTGAACAAGGTTGAGTGGCCTTTGACGTTGATGTACTGCGTGAAATTTCTCGCAACAAGGGGAGCTCGCGCTGATTTTGATCACAATTTCTCGAAGCGGAAAGATTGTTACAAAGACTCTTACAATAGATATTTGGAGTATATGGCGAGCCAGATGACAAAATAAGTGGCGCACGTTGCGTCACGCCACCCACTAACTAGTTGCCAACAATTCACGCACCCACTATCACCATGCTTTAATTCCTGTACCAATGGTCGTATATCGTCCAGTAACACCTGCTGAGGAAGAGGCTTCAGATAACACCCAGAACCCAACACCAGTTAAAGAAAAAGGTACGGACGCTGACGCAATTCTACCAGCAAAAGGGTATTGATATCAGTCAACAGGATATCTTCGAGTTCTGCCACGTTTCTCCACGGACTGGATGTCGCTATACCGCAGCATCTCAAGAGCCTCCAAGGCATCATAAGCCGCCCTATCAGACATAGAATCGTCGCAGGAAATCTCTCCTCCATGACAGCCACGTCAAAGCCTTCGAAGACCGAATACAACAGCGTGGATTCGACCACCGTATCTGTCCCTGGCTTGAGGTCTTTCACGAGTCTTTCCAAATCGCAGGCAGATCTCCGAGTGAACTGTTCAAAGCGCCTTTCCTCGCCTGCCAGAAGCTTTTTCTGACGGCGAAATCAGCCAAAGAGCATCGCGAATATCTCGCCATTCGACGGTACTGGCCACTACACCAATGGCGAAGAGTTCGCTTTTCAGACGAATGCCATTCAATAATGCAAGGTCATCGACGTACCGGATAATCACAACCCCCTCTCGACTAAAGAACACCGATTGATCGCCCTGGCATCGCCGGAAGCCCATCACAGCCAGTTTCTTCGAGATATCCAGCCACCATTTCACGTGGCGATTGGCACAGACCAAACAGTGCCTTCAAGACCTTGCAACAAGTGCCTCTTCCTCGGAATCCTGTGATAAATTGCATGTAAACCACCTATGCTAATCCTGAGTTGAGAGAAGCGTCAGCAACATCCACTTGTACTAATTCCAGACCTTCAAGGCAAGAGATTGCCAGGAATAATCGGATTGATCCATATCTCGACGTTGAGGCGTAAACTTCCTGATAATCCACGCCGCGGACCTGTTTATGTCCATGAACGACCTATCTGGAACTCTCATGGCCTGTGAGTAAGACACCACCTTGTGGCCGATGCCGCCGCCTCTCTCATAAACCCTGAGTTATCAACCAGTAGTACATCCTGGATATGCTCATCCGTGTCGAACTCTGTAACCTCCACCGTCTTAAAAGTAACGGCTCTGATCCACATCAAAGATAACATCTCTGGAACGGAAAACTCTACGTTTCTCAGGATCGAATACCCAGTAGATTGAAGAGGCCGCGCCGTAACTAATCAAGACATAGGGCCTCGAAGGGTCTGTAAACTTGCCCTGTCGCTTCTCCTTTGGCACATAAACGAAGGCACGATTGCCAACGATTCGTAAATGACTCATATCTTTACCATTGAATCGCTCGAACGGCGTTATAAATCCAATCGATCTGTTTGGACTGCGACTATGCAAGTAAACGGCTGTTTACAATAGGTTCTCCCACAGATATTCAGGCAATCCTGAGTCCTTCCTCATCGATCTAACCGTACTCATCAGCGTTCGATTGAGACTGTCGGTAACGCCGTTTGACTCAGCTAACACGGGTAAAAACCACGGCAGTGGACGAGTCGGCGAGAGGGCCAGTAGGGACTTTAACGGTGGCAGACACTATAGCGGTTAGTACGCGGACAACAACAGCCACCGCAGCACATATTATTGGAAGAGCGCGAGAACGGCTAAGACCACAATGCTCCGGCACACACGCGAGTATCCTGCTAAACATACCATTTGGGGGGGGATGCTGACGACACCGGAAAAGCAAGAAAAACATGGATACTTA